AATGATGATGTGGTGTTGAAAGAGTTCATTGGCTTAGAGTATGTCAACCATTTTACGGTCCCTCCGGTGGGTCGCAGTGGCGGATTAACACTTTTTTGGAACCAAGAGGTGGATATACAGATCTTACAATCTTCCCCAAACCATATCGACACCAAGATGATTAACAAAGGACAATCAAGCTACGTTACCTTTATCTATGGCCCCCCCGCAAGTAGAAAATCGACAACCCTTCTGGGATCTCATTTCAAGTTTGGGCAGTAACAGAGCTGAGAGTTGGCTAGTCACGGGGGATCTCAATGAAATAGCTGCTAACTCAGAGAAGAGGGGTGGTCCGAGGAGACCCGAAGCCTCGTTTACAAGATTCTGAAATTTCATGGCTCAAGCTGGCCTTTGGGAGGTTAAACATTCGGGAAATCCCCTTTCTTGGAGAAGTTATAGAAATATTCACTTCATCAGAGTAAGACTAGATCGCTCTCTAGAGAATGGGGCTTGGTCCGAAGCTTTCCCGAGCGGTAGATGCGAATATTTGCGGTTTGAGGGATCAGATCATCGTCCCCTAATCACCTATTTTGGCCAGAAGAAAAAGAGACGTAGAAGAGCTTTCCATTTCGACAGATCACTCTGTGATAAGGAAGACTTCAGGAACCTCATCGACAAGCTACGGTAGAGCACAGAGGCAGAGTCGGTAAACAAAAAGCTTGACCGATGCAGAGATCACATTATTAAGTGGGCCAAACCTAAAAAGAAAAATAATGATAAGGAAATAAGTAAGGCCCAACAACTATTGGATCATGCCCTTTCCGAAGACTTCCCTAACTGCTTTTTTACGCCAAAAGAGCTCTTCTTCTCTGTAAAAATTCTCCAGTTTCAGAGTACAATGGCTGCAAGGGGGTGACCGTAATACTGGTTTTTTTTCATGCCTCAGTGCGTGGGAGGAGAGCAGTTAATAAACTCTCTGTTATCGAAGATGAACACGGAAATTCTGTTTTTGAAGAGGACCAAATCTCTCACTCTATCACTGAATTTTATAAAGGCTTATTCGAAACTAATGGTAATGGCGAGTTCAGTCTAG